AAATTAGCCAGGCATTGTTTGTATATGCATTTTGATGCATATACAATTCTAGGCTGACAGTATTTTTTCTTTTACTACTTTAAAAATGTTCCATTTTCTTGACTTTTTTTTTCCTTTTGGCCTAGAAAATCTGTGGTTTCTTATCTTTGCAACTGTATGTAATATGCCTTTTTTCTCTGATTGCTTCTAACATTTGTCTTTGTCACTAGTTTTCCGCAAAGATTATGATGTACCTTGGGTGGTTTACAGTTTCAGTTGGTTCTTTGTAAGTATCTTCTAACTCTCACCATGACTTACCTTGGCTTTCTAATTTTTTCATTCAACATTCAACAAATACTGAGCATCTACTCTGTGTCTGACATCATGAAATGAAACAAAGATCCTTGTTCTCATGGAGCATATGTTCTAGTGGTGGAGAAGGGGGGGAACCCCAATAAACTAATAAATAAGTGCTGTGGGGAAAAGTAGCAGATTAAGAAAATGGAGAGTGAGGGGGTGTTACAGTAAGAGGGGTGCGAGGCTGCAGAAGTGCTCAGGGTGAGATGTGAGCGGAGACTGGAAGGAGGTGAGGAGGGAACCCTGCAGCTACTGGGGGAAGAAACACCCACAGAGGAATGAGCTTCACAGAGGCCCTGGGTGGTTGGAGCGAGGCAAGGGGAGAGCAGCTCAGGCAAGTAGGCAGGGGTAGCAGGCACAGACCAGGATGCCTCTTGCTTTCCCTCTGGGATAGGAGCCATTGGAGGACTCTGAGTGGGGGAGGCATGTGGTCTGACAGCCTTTCTAAGGTCACTCTGGTTGCCGTATATGAACGTCAGGAGTACAAGGGCAGAAATGGGGAGACAAGTGGTGACTGCAGTGACCTCCGAGGCTGCTTGCTGGGACCTGGCATGAGGTGGTGGCATGTGCTCAGATCTGGATATATTCTGAGGGTAGCAGGACTGTCCAGATTTACAAACGGAAGGGACGTGGGATGAAAGGAAGAGAGAAGTCCAAGTGAGTCAGGTCATTGCCTGAGTGAACAGAAGGATGTGTGCCCATCAGCCGACAGAGGGCAATGGGCAGACAGCTCAGGTGTGGTCCTGTCAAGCCCGAGACCATCAGCACACCCCCCAGGCAGCATCATAGGGGAGACTGGATTTAGCAATCCAGGTATCACTGGTAATCTGGGGGACACAGCCGGAGGAGGAAATGAGGCGCAGGGTGACGGGACAGACCTCTGGGAATTCTGCTGAACAGGGAACAAAGAAACGGTGAGAGAAGTCTGATAAAGAGAAGGTTTTCTTAGGATGGGAGAAACAGCCCTTTTATGCTGATAACAATCTAGTAGCCAAGCAAAACAAAATCACACTGTAGGGGACAGAGGAGTGCTGGATGACTGCCTTGAAGCAGGCCATGAGGCCTGGAACCGGCTGAAGCGGCAGAGGTGCTGGGGTAGTCCGTGGACACGCAGCCCCGTTTTCTCAGTGAAGCAGCAGGCAGGGCAAGGGAGGGGTGAGGGGATGGCTGGGCATGTTTGCGGGGCTGAGGGAGAGGAGTCGGCCCACGTGGCTGTGGCTGCTACAAGCAAGGAGTTGGCCAGAGTCCAGTGCGGTGAGGGACAGGGACTGGCCATGGCCATGAGCGAGGACGTGGAGCTGCAGAGGGGGCAGCACAGGGCAGAAATGTGGCCAGATTCTCTGGGATGGACAGGGATGGACAGTCTGGGAGTGGGGTATTTATCACTGTTTATTTTTGTTTTTAAATAATTGCTTTATTGAGATATAATTCACATACCATGAAATCCACCCTTCAAAAATATACAACTCCATGGGTTTTGCTCTGTTTTGTTTTAAATTATTAGGTTTCATTAAACAGCCCATTTGGATACTTGCTCACTGGAACTTATTTCTGCTCCAGCCTCAGTTCTTTGAGAAATGCAGGAATTCTTTTCACGAGAATATTAGCCTGACCCAGAATGTTAAAAAGTCAGCTGCCTCAGCACCTACTGACAGCTCCACACTCAGAAGAGATCTAAAAACCTAGAAGATTAAATGTAGCAAAATGTGAACAGAAGACATCGTTTACAAGTCATTTAATAACTGTAATTGCATAGAATTTACTCACTTTCAAATTATTTTTCTGAATACCAAATTTGTGAAACAAAATACATCACGTGATGCTTTGAAGAGTTGTTAAAGGGTGGATTGGCTCCAAGGCAAAACCTTTTTCTGTATTAGGAAAGGCAGGGGTGCACAGTAATCCTGTGAGGTATGTTTCATTATCCTCGCTGTGGACAGAAGAGAAAAGCGAGGCTCCAAAGGATGAAGTAACCTACTGGACGCCACACAGCTGACTGTCAGTGTCTCCCTGGGTACTGCAAACTCAGCCACTTTAAAAGGAAGATTATTTTAAATTGAGTGCTAATTGCTACTCACAAAATGAACATGTTAATATGATAAATAACAAAATATTTAACTGATGCCTTAGAAAACCAAGATTAAGGGTTCCAGATTCAAATAGGCCCCTTTCAAATATAAAATATTCCTTATTTTCGTGGTCTACAATTGGGGGTGAAGGGGAGATACTTGCTATGGCTTAAAAAACAAACACACACAGCAATTCCATGCCTGGGTATGTACCCAAAGAACTGAAAACAGGTATTGAAACAAATATTTGCACACAAATGTTCACAGCAGCATCACTCACAACAGCCAAAAGGTGGAAACAACCTAAATGTTCACCAACAGATAACTCGATAAACAAAATGTGGTATCCAAACAGTGCAATATTATCGACGGGGTTTAGCGTATTACTGATAACAAGGTTGTGCAACCACATCTACTTCCACAACATGTTTATCACTCCAAAAAAAAAAACAACCCTGTACCCATTAGAGGTCAGTGCCCCCAGGCAAAGACATTGACTTTCCGTGTCTATGCGTGCGCTTCAGGACATTTCGTATAAACAGAATCCTACATTATGTGGTCTTCGGTAACTGGATTATTTCACATTTTCAAGGTTCATCTACATGGCAGCATGTATCGTACTGCATTCCCTTTTAAGGTTGACTAATATGTCATGTAAGGATAGACCACCTTTTGGTTATCATTCATCTGCTGATGGACATATGTGTTTCCAACTCTTGCTATTATGAATAGTGCTGCATGAACATTGGTGTACAAAGTTTTTGTTTTTGTTTGAGACAGGGTCTGGCTCTGTCACCCAGGATGAAGTGCAGGGCTGTGATCGGAGCTCAATGCACCCCCAAACTCCTGGGCTCAAGCCTCCCAAGCAGCTGGGACTACAGATGTGAGCCACTATGCCTGGCTAACTTTTTGTTTCTTTGTAGACACGGGGTCTCACTCTGTTGCCCAAGCTGATCCTCCCTCCTCGACCCCCCAAAGTGCTGGGATTGCAGGCTTAGTGAGCCACCGAGCCCAGCAGTGTACGAAGTTTTCTGTGGGCAGACGTCTTTATCTTTTTTACCCTGCTCTAAGGCTACTCTAGTCCAGGATAACGTCCGATCTGCTTACTGAGCACCTGCTCTGTACTGAGCACCTGCTCTGTGCAGGGCACCGAGCTGGGCACTGAGGAGCCCACGGAAAGTCCACAGGCCTTCCTGGGGACCCAAGGAGGAGACTGGGGCTGTGAGCAGGTGGTAGTGCTGCCTGTGCAAAGGCCCTCCTGCCGTGAGAGGAGACCAGAGGGGTCACTCCGAGGCCCTGGGGTCCCGGAGGCAGGAGGAGCCAAGGGAGACCCCGGGATGCGCGGGGCAGGTCTGGCTCTAGCTGTGGATGGCGGCTGCACCCCACGTCTGGGCCCGGGGGTGTGCAGGGGACCCGGAGCTGTGCTGAGAGGCCGCAACTATGCGGGGACGAGGGGCGGCGGGAAGATGCAGGAGACCTGGGGCTGGGGGAGGCGGGACTGTGCGGGAGGGGCGGCGGGAAGATGCAGGAGACCTGGGGCTGGGGGAGGCGGGACTGTGCGGGAGGGAGGCCAGGGAGGTGCAGGGGACCTGGAGCTGTGCGGAGGGAGGCCTGGGGTGTGCGGAGAGAGGCCGGGGCGGGGCCCAGAGGCTGTGCAGGATCTGCTTGGAGCCGGCACCGGCCTCGCCTCCCACCTCGAGATGCTGGCCGAAGGCGACCTGTGGGCACCCCCGGGCTCCCCCGAGCCCTGCACCGCCTCGGCCCCCGCCCACAGGACCATCCCGGCTGAACCCGCCAGGCTTTGGTAACCCCCTCTCCGCCCCCACCAAGGCAGCCTTTTCCCTTCCCCCGCGCCATGAAAACCTCCCATCCGCGCCGCCCCCACCCCGGCGGTCTCCCCTCCCTCCCTCTGTCCCCCTTCCGCTATATGGAAGCCCCCTCCCCCGGCTGCTTCCCTAGCCCCGCCGTGGCCCCCACTTCTTCCCCATCCCCTGGGAGCCGGGGCGCCCGTGCGGGGCGGGGTCCTCGGCGCCCCCAGGATCCCACCTGGGCGATCCTTGCCTACCCGTCGCAGTGGGCCCAGGGTCCGTGAGCCTCCTCGCGACGGAGGCATCCAGGCGGGGATCGAAACTTCCGTTTGAGCCTCAGTTTCCCGGCCGGGCGTCCTGGCTGCGGCGTCCCGCCTGTGCGCTCAAAGCCCGCCCCGCCCCCGGCATCTGCGTACACGGCCCCTTTAAGGACTTGCTGCGCCCTCCCGCCTCCTTTTTCTCGCGCGTCTCCTTCCCAGGCCGCCCCGCCCCCGCCGGGAGCGCGCTTGCGTCACCCCGCAGACCTCGGCCGCGCCTTCGCGCCTGCGCCGCCCGGGCCAGGGTGAACCATTGGCCGCCGAGCTCGGGGCACGCGACTGGAAGGTCGCGGGTTGGGAGGCCTTCGCAGGAAAAGGCGGGGCGACGGCGAGAGCGGCCTCGTCGCGCTGACTTCCGCTCCCGCGCCGTCTGGGCCAAGGCCAGCAAATGGGTACAGAGCTCTTGGGCACGTGGGAGGAGGGGGGGGGGGGGGCGGCCTCTGCCGGAAGGGGCGGGGTGAGGACGGGAGCGGCCGCGTAGCGCGGTAAGTGAAGTGGGCTCGGCCCAGGGGGCTACCGCGCCGGCCAGGCGCTGCGTCCTGTTGGAGCGCGGGCACTCTGTGGTTCTGCCGACCGCGGTGTGGCTACGGGGTCCGCCCGGGCTGACCCCGCCCCGACGCGCGGCGCTTTCATCCTCAGAGTCGCCGGCGCGGAGCCAGCCCGTCTCGCGCTGTGCGGCCTCTAGGGGCTCGTTGCTCCGAGCAGCGCTGTACTCGGCAGCCGGCCCCAAGCCGCCCCGCCTCGATTCGTGGCGAGCTGCAGGCCTGCCTGCAGCTCGCCCCCGGCCCTGCGCCGTCGGGCCTTTTCCCACGCCACTCACCTGACGAGCTGATCAGCGGGGTGGCTGCGGCCCTCCCTCCCCTGGGAGTGCGCACCTGGCTACAGGTGGGCCCCGGGTGTGCTTTTCACTGGTTCCCTCAGGATCCGTGGCTCCTGTCCTCGGCGGCCTTTATCGAGGCTGTCCTATGGGATGCGAGTGAACGAGGGAAGCTGTGCCACAGTCTAGTTTGGGAACAGCTGATTTAAATGTGACACGTTTATGTGCATTGTCAAATGCCAAGCACAGCCTTCACTGTAGCATCTTTTACACTTATGTAATTGTAGAGGTACGGAGTTAAAGTTTCATTTTTAAAACTTTTCCTAATTACCACCAAAAGACCTTGTTGGACTTCGTGAATATCACCTCGAATTGTTACATTGCCCAGGAAATCACCCCACAGAAGTAAGAGCATAAAGATGCCAGCATCAGGGCCCCTCCTGGAGTGCCTAGTATATAGTGAAGGTCAGCAAAGATTTGTTAATAAAACCAAGAACCATAAAGTACTAGATGGTAATTTAGCATTTCTGTGTTATGTATTTCTAGATATGGATCAAAAACTTTCAAAGTTGGTAGAAGAGCTCACAACTTCAGGAGAACACCAACTGAATCCTGAGAAAATGAAGGAACTGAAAAAAATTTGCAAGTATGTCTTAAAGTTTAGCAATTCATAGTAGCTGACCGGCCCAGTGAGCCCATGACACACCTGGGAGGTTGTGGGGCTTCTGCATATATCTCAGTCATCCCCTGGGAAAGAACCACCAAAGGAACACAGCCCGGACGTCTTCCTAGGGCCTTGCAGTGCCCAGCTCTGATGGGCAGTCACATTCTAGGGCAGTACGCCTAGGGTGGTGGTGTGTGGCATTACTAATTATATTGTATCCTGTATTTACAAAACAGGAGAATGTAAGATTGTTTATTAAATGATGAAGTGTTTGTATTTTGAAAAAAAATTCCAGTTCAGGTCAGGTTTCGCAGCATGCCCTGAAAAACCCCCATATCATCGTGGTTTACACAGAGCAGTAGCTGGGAAGAGGATCCCCCAGGGGCTCGCAGGACTTTTCCCTTTTACTTCCTGCAGGAGAGGCTTTGAGGTCACGCACCCAGCTCAGCAGTGGTGTACAGGTGCGTGCACGCGCGCGTGCGTGCATCTGTGTGAGAGAGAGAAGGGCAGTAGACTTTCTAGATGGGCCAGATGGTGACTGTTTTAGGCTTCACCACCATAAGGTTTTTTTTTTTTTTTTTACCATAAGGTTTTGACTCTGGAAAGTACCAGAGACATCCTAACTGCATGGGTGGGCGGTGTTCCAATGAACTTTATTGATGAGCATTAACATTTGAACTTTATATAATCTTCACACTTCACAAAGTATTGTTTATATGTTTCAGCAATTTAAAAATGTAGAAAACAGTGTGGGCTTGTTGGTCTTATAAAAACGTGCAGAGGATCAGGGAGCCAGGTTTGGCCCTTGGGCAGTAGTTTTCGGACCGTGCTCTAGAAGAAGGGGAGAATGAAGCTTGGGAGGCGGCTGCTGTCTCTGCCACATGTGAATGTTGTGTGCCTGCACGAAGAGCGTTTATTAACTCCTTCAAGCATGGGCGCTTGGGTCAGGCCAGTTTGTGTCCCTAGGTCTTCAGAGGAACTGCTAGGCCATGCCTACCACCTGCTGATGGCGCAGCTGAGCCAGGAGCATGCCCAAGTCCGCCTCTCAGCCTTCCAGGTCGTGGATGAACTCTTCACCAGGTCTCACCAGTTCAGGATACTGGTTGTCTCTGACCTCCAGGAGTTTTTGGAGCTCACGCTAGGCACAGACCATGAGCAGCCCCTGCCACCACCCAGGGAGGCGGCCCAGAGGCTGAGGCAGGCAGCCATCCGGGCAGTGGAAGCGTGGAATGAGAAGTTTGGGGAGGCCTATAAGAAGCTCTCTTTGGGCTACCACTTCTTAAAACACAACAAAAAGGTAGGTGGGCTTTGCCCATTGTTGACCAGAGACTCTAGTTGCCTTCTGTGAGGAGGGCAGACCAGAGAGGAAGAGAATGCTCTTCCTATTGAGCCTGGGTGTAGGATGCACATCGGGCTGGGTATGGCAGCGGCCTGCTTGGCTTTCCCTGGGCATCTAGGCTGCTGGACCAGCTGTTGAGGTGTGGGGGTGCGCGAGAGTAACCAGCAGCTGGGGTCAGGACCTCTCAGTGCTGTGAGGAAGAGTGCGAGCTCACCCTGTGTATGGTCGCAGCTGAGCCTACAGACCCACATGTATAAGATAAAAAGTGAAAGCAAAACACATCTTCTCAGACATAACCCTTTCCTGTGACAGTGGACCCCTGGGCTCTGGGGTCTGTCCCAGCTGTGCTGTAAGTCTCCACCTGGATTCCACCGTGGGCTCTGGCTGGTGCTGGGCATGACAAAACCTGCTAGCATCCGCTGCTGTGGCCTGAACCCAGACCCCTGCCTGCCACAGAGGCTCGGCCCATCCTTCACCGCGGGGCCCAGGGACTGCCCCTCTCCCACTGGGGTGCACTCTCAGGTGGTGTCTTTAGACCTCGGGTCTAGTCAGTAGCCCCTGGCCTGCGCATCAGGCAAGCTCACTGCTTTCCTGCCTGCATCAGACTTGGGGGAGAAGTCTTTTTATCTCTTTTATTTTAAGTTAGCAAATGTGCTGGCTTTCCAGGGATTAGACAGCAGAGTTAGGTGTGTTTCCTTTTGTTTTCATGCATTGTGAACTGAGAAGCCTGTGGAGATCCTGGCCACATACTAACCTGGCTTGTGTGTCTTTTATTAGACCTATTTTTGACTTACCGTTTTCTTTGTGTTCTTTATAGATGGACCTAATCTTTATTTTCAATTTTTCAGGTGGACTTTCACGATGTGAATGCTAGGACTCTAGCAGAAAGAAAGAGAGAAGAGGAGAAGCAGAAGCACTTGGATAAAATCTACAGGGAAAGAGCCCAGCAGGCAGAGAGGGAGATGGAAGGCAAGTTCCCAGGACTGAGCGAGGGGCCCTCATGCCTTCTTGGGGCCGCCTCATGCCCCTGGTCGCTGGGGTCCCAGGTGTTCAGACAGGCCAGGCAGAGACACTTGGGATTGAGGGCTAGGGGAGTCCTTCCCAGTCACAGACCCCACCCTGTTCCCAGGGGCCCTGCAGCATCCATGCCTGTTTCGCGCCCCCTGGTGGCCATGCTCGCCTACGCCGTTTGCTGGGAGGATCCCTGGGCACACTCCAGGCGCAGTGTGTGTCTAGCGGTGGTCTGGGCTTCACGGCCTGACTGAAGGCCCTCTCGCCATGGTCCCTGTTTGCCAGCCCCTTTCCCGGAAAGCTCCACCATTTACTTCCTGGCATCCGGCCCCTCTCATGAGGGGCATGGCCCAGGCGTTCACACGTGGAAGCCAGCCCAAGGCTGTTGTTGTCTACAGCAGGGCATCTCCTGTAATGGGCTGAGGTGGCTACTCTGCATCCTCAGACTACAGGTCTTGGGGGTTCTTCCTGTGCCCAGAGCTTCCTATAGACAGACCCTTTTCCTGGGCGTAGTCCCTGCCAAAGGCCACTTCTGGAAATCCCAGGCCTTGAAGAAGCCCAAAAGGCAGGCAGCTGTGCCCCCGGGATGACAAGGAGTCCACCGGGAGGGAGAGCTGTGGCAGCCTCAGGGAGGTGGGGTATACATGCAACATTTTTTTGCCCCAGAAAGGGGGTGTAGCTTTGCACATGCCCTCGGTACAGCATGGTCCAGACCTGAGGGTTGTTACCTGGAGGCGTCTGAGAGGCTGACCTTGCAGACCCCAATACTAAGCGTGGTGGTTTGTTGAGCAGTTAAAAACCTCCTATGACACATGCTTCCAGGACTGGCTTTGGTTCTTGGGAAGAAAGGAGGCACTGGGGGGTGTGGGTGACGTGCAGGACCCCAGCCCACCTGGTGCCGAGAAATGACCCTGGGGGAGCAGGCCTCTGTGCGTGTTTTGGGTGAGTTGGTGCTCTGTTGCCCAGTATGACACAGGAAGCAGATGTCTTAATGTTTTGGCAGAAATGTCTGAAGAAATTGAGTCCTGCCTGACAGAAGTGGAGAGCTGCTTCAGGCTGCTGGTGCCATTTGACTTTGGTCCTAGCCCGGTGGTGGCGAAATTCCTTGATGTGGCTTCTGACATGTCCAATCAGGGTGCCTCTCGCTCCTCGCACCCGGGCCAAGCCACCCCTTGCCAGTGTGGACCCCCCACACCCTCGGATGGCGAGCAGCCCTGCTGCAGCAAGGACCTGCCTGCCTCTGCGTGCCATCCCGGGGCTGGCAGCAAGGCACTGCTGCTGCAGGCAGCCACACGAGACCCCTCGGAAGACGAGGATGAGGACAGTGACCAGGAAAAGTTTGTTCGGAGCCATGGGCTTGGCTCACACAAGTACACACTGGATGTGGAGCTCTCCTCAGGTAACTGGCCACCCGGCACCTCCCTCCACCAGCTCTGGGCTGACTGGTCAGCAGGTTTGTCACTGGCACCTGGCCCAGGGTGTCTCGGGCTGACAGAGCCTTGGACCTGTGGTGGCTCCTCAAATGGGGCTGGGTTGGGGGCCCCACCAGGTCCCCCCTTCCTGTGTGGCCGCTGCACTGGGCTTCCCTCCTACCATGCCAGGCCTCTGTGGCTGCAGGATGACCGTAGGGGGCCACTTTTAAGAGCTCATAGACTTCTCTGCCATGCCAGCAGCCCCTACCCTGGTGAGTCTGTGAGCAGAGCAAGGACTCACAAGATTGAGGTGAGGAGGGCTCTCCAGGCTGGCACGTCCCAAGATTCTTGTTGTGTGCAGTCCTTACAGCATGTGGTCCGAATGACTGGCCAGCCCTGGGCAGGTCACAGGCCTATTAGGGCCACATGTGGCCTGAGCGTTCCAGCCTGGGGGGCTTTGCTGAAATGCAACCGTCGCCCATGCCCTTTGGCCCAAGCTTCCTCACGTGTGCTCCACGCTCTGCATGGCGGGGGTATGTGGAGGGGTCGAGGGCTCATTAGATACTAGCAAGGCTTTGAATCGCTGTCTTCAGGGAACCTGCTTCTCTGCAAGCAGGCACAGCGGACGTGCCTTCACCAGGGTGGAGGCAGCCAGGCCTGAAGCTGCCAGGAGAACTTGATCTTCAAGGCTCAGTCTGCTCTGAGGGCTGCAGGTGCTGCAGGAATTGAGTAGCAGGAGTGCCCTTTAGGCTGGTGCAGGGTGGACCCAACACCAGTGTTTATGGCGTAGTCAGCCCCTATGAGTGGCCTGGCCTGTGTAAATGCATAGCCATGCGCCAGACGTGTGAGGTCTGCAGTGCGGGAAGCACACAGCAGAGGCCGTGCAGGAGATGAGGTGCCCAGCAGGGAAGGGCTGGTGAGGCTGGCTGGGTGGGGCCTCCATCCTGAGGGCAGTGGAAGGAGGGGAGGGTTCTGTGAGCAGCTGGGGGGGGGGTAGGGATGTCAAGGGAAGAAGGCCATCGGGGGTCTCACACCTCTGGTGGGAGGGATGGCCTCAGCCCAGGTGGTTGAGACACGGGCAGTGGAGCTGTGTGCTTGGGGAGCCAGAACGTTCTCATCCAGCATCACAAAAGGGTGCGTTTTCTCTTACAGCATCAGGTTTGGGACCCCAGGCTATGTGGCTGGGGCAGGGGAGGGTGTCTGGTGGTTTCCTCACAAGCTGCAGTGGCCTTTGCTGCGTGGTCTGCTTCACCAGGGTCTGCGGGCAACGCAGGCCTGTGGCCCTCTGGTGACCTGCACGTGCTTCACCTCAGATGGCCTGAAGCTGCAGGAGAACGAGGACAACCTTGCCGTTGTCCAAGCCACCCGCGATGCGCTCAAGCTTGTCCAGAACAAGTTCCTGCCGTCGGTGTGCTCCTGGGTCCAGGTGAGGCTGGGCACCTGGCCAGAATAAGGGAACGGAAGGAGGTGGGCGCCTGTGGGTGGAAGGAGGATGTGTGGGAAGTGTCTGGCAGGGGGCTCTCTTCCTTGGGGCGATTGCTGGGGCACAAGGAGTTCAGGTGACCAAACTGCCCCCTGCCCCAGGTGGGCTCTGTTCCTCACCCGAGGCCCTTGTCCTCTGTGTCCCAGCTGTGTTTAGAGTCACCTCACAGGCCCACCGACCCAGCCATGTGCCTCCTGGCAGGGACGGGCTCCCTAGGGCCTTTGTAATCCACCCTGTGTTTTTCAGCGGTTTACCCGCGCAGGGACCCACGGTGGACACTTAAAGCGTGCCATTGACCTGAAGACGGAATTAGAGCTTGTGCTGAGAAAATACAAGGAGCTGGACATCGCACCTGAGGGAGACCAGAGGCTCAGGGTGAGTGGCGGGTGCGGATTGCAGGGCTGGGCAATACGAGTCGCTGGGGCTTCAGGAGATTCTGTCTCTTTTCTCACTCAGAACTGACTTCTCACCTTGAGAGCCCCAGACCAAGCCCCCTCAGTGGCACAGTGAGCGGGTCCAGGGCAGGAGAGGTGTGGGTTGGCCAGCGGGGGCAGCGAGGATCCTGGAGCCCTCCTCAGGGAGGAGGCGGAGCCACTGGGGACCCAGCCACACCTGCCTCCCCAGCCAGGGCTTCCCACGAGTACAGGGTCACTGCTGTGGTGCAGTGATGTTCCAGGCTGTCAGTGTGGTCTGGTCATGCATTCTAGCTGAGGGTACACGTGCTGAGCGCCCCATGTGTGAAGGGTGCCTCTGGGAAGCCACAAAGAGTCAGGCAGTGCCCCCTAACCTAGTGGAGGCTTCTAAGGAGTTGCCAGGAGGTGAGGCACCGTGGTCAGCCCAGGCAGAGACCCTGGGAGAGCTCCAGGTGGCCGAAAATGGAAGGCATGTTGTCTGGTTTGAGAGGGAGGAACTGGCTCCCTGAGGTTCTGGGGGGCTGCGAAGAGGTGCTGCACCTACCTGAGAGGGAATGGAGTTAGAGGGGGTTACAGGTGCCTACCCCTTGGGCCCCTGGTGATGGGGCAGAGTGAAGCCATGCAGTGACACCTGGGGCTGCAGAGCCCGTTGTGCTGGGCAGAGGGTGCCAGGCAGCAGCACCAAGCACTGCTGCAATGGGACTTCAGGAGGGAGATGAGCTAGGAGTGGAGACCTGGGCTTGATGCCTAGAAAGGACCTGAGAGTGGGGGTCTCGTGCACATGTCCTCAGGGACTGTGGGCCACAGGGGGACTGTGTTCAGTACAGCTGGACCTTGTAATTGGGCGACATGAGGCTCGTCACAGCAGATGCCAGCTGGTGGTCCCTGGCCGTGCATGGTCATCCCATCTCCTGCCTTGGCGGTCTCTCCACTGTCTCAGAACCGAGACAGCAGATACCAGGTGCACCATTCCTCACAGAACCCAAGCCCTGGACCCTGAATCCGACCCTGAGATCAGACCCCAGACCCAGCCAAGAGTGTACTAACCCTGGCCTGGGAGATGATAGCTTTTAAACTATCCCCTTTTTTTTTTTTCTTTTTTTTTTTTCCAGGCTTTGATGTTTTATTGGAGCAAATCTTCAACAAAAGGTGGCTTTTATTTACAGAATTTAATGTGGGAACTGTCCAACCCAGTTGGACCCAAGTAATGATAACCATTGAGGTTAAATAAGATTAAAAAAAATGTATTTGCTTCACATTCATAAAAATCCCAATATTGTAAATAACAAATAAACCCTCCCTTACTCATTCCTTAATTAAATATACAAACAGCTTCAGGAACATAAAATTTAAACTGGTTTAATCTTGAAGTGTAATCCAATGAGACTGAAAAACTAAACATTTCAGTTCTTGTACCAAATAGTAAAATACTCGAACGCTTTCAGGATCCTTTGACTGATTTACATCAATAAGAGAACCTAGGCCGGCGCGGTGGCTCACGCCTGTAATCCTAGCTCTCTGGGAGGCCGAGGCGGGCGGATTGTTTGAGCTCAGGAATTCAAAACCAGCCTGAGCAAGAGCGAGACCCCGTCTCTACTAAAAATAGAAAGAAATTAATTGGACAACTAAAAATACATAGAAAAAACTAGCCGGGCATGGTGGCGCATGCCTGTAGTCCCAGCTACTCGGGAGGCTGAGGCAGGAGGATCGCTTGAGCCCAGGAATTTGAGGTTGCAGTGAGCTAGGATGATGCCACGGCACTCTAGCCCGGGCAACACAGTGAGACTCTGTCTCAAAAAAAAAAAAAAAGAGAACCTATTTTTGATGTAGTAAAAGAAATGTGCTCATCTCCAATTACAATTTCCAGCTCCTGTCGACCAACCCTGTCAGGAGGAGGCCACAAAGCATCATCATCTTTTGTAATTTCACTGTCATCAATAATTCTATTTAGTTCTTCCGTTACACTCTTGTGTACATAAGCCTCTTTTCTGATCATGACATCGTTTTTGTAGTTGCTGTTGTTGGTATATCTAAGCTTTCCATCTGGCCGAAACTCGAACTCCAGAAACTCGTGTCCAAACTTGCCCTTGTGCCCTACATAGTAGCGCAGGTAGAAATCACTAGCCATAGCCATTTTTGGCCCCAGGAAGCCCCTATCCCTTTTTTTAAAAGAAAGCTTTGAGGTGGAAAGAACTGTGTGTGGATGACCCTTGGTCCAGCCCAGGTGGCCTCCTCCCCCACCCCAAAATGGGCATGCAGCACAGTGGGCGGGGGCTGCGAGGCGGAACATGGGCCCACAAATGAGCACCAAAAGCCCAAAGCCATTTTCCTGAGGGTCTGTGATAGCTACAGGCACTGGGCTTCCGAGTCTGGCCCGTGACTTTGCAGAGGGCATGCGCAGCCTCGGGCCAGCAGAGGGCGCTCTTGCTGTTCTCTCTGGAACCTCGAGCCCTGCAGGGAATTCAGGACCGTAGGGCTCACAGGCGCCGGGTGGACTCAGCCCTGGCCACCAAGACTGCTCATGCTGTAGCTGTTTGTGGGTGTTCATGAATACCGTGTAAGAGTTTCATTAACTAAGAAATCAGTTTTCTAAATTTTGACCAAAGTATATCTTTAACACTGAAAAAAAATTTTCCTAGTCCTGGGAGGAAGGTGATTAACCCAGTTAGCATATCAGCGATCAGGAGTTCATCGCTGACGTGGTGTGCTCAGGGTCACAGGGTTGTCAGAGCAGGCTTGGGTCACTGACTCGCCCATGTGGACGGGGTGTGGGGAATCTCCACTCCGGGCTGGGGCAGCAGGAATGCTTTATGTGATCCAGGCAGAGCTCCTTCACGCTTGCCCGAGGCCTCTGAGCAGTGGCTGCTGTGTGCCAACCTGTGTCAACAGGATGTTGAGTGCCCACACTAATACCCCACGCTGGGCACCTGCCTGGTCCTGCTTGTTGTGGATGGGCCTCGGGCCTGGCTCCTGCAGTCTGTGGACAGTTAGGTTTGCTGATGGGCCAACAGGCCTTTGCGGTGCAGTGATGGCCTCTGGGGCAGCTGGGTGCCTTGGGGAGTGTCCACGGAGCTCAGACTAGTCTAACCAGGCCTGGGCGCTACCAGCCTGCATAGTCCTTTTGGGGCCAGCAGCATTGCTAAGGGCTGGCCGGACCCCAAGCCCAGAGGGGTCTCGGCAGCCGGGCCACTCTCCTTGGACTGAGGCTCTGGCAGCAGAGCCTTGTGGAGTGCCTGGAGCTGCCCCTGTCCACATCTCACAGCTCCACGGCCTCTAGGGCTGGCTCAGAGTGAGCTGGTTGGTGCTACTGAGCCCTGGGCAGCCCCTCCTAGTCTGTTGGCAGCTCAGCCCATACAGGTGGTAACAAGAGATACGCAGCATCTCGGGTCAGGGCTCTATGCTGGGTGTCCCCAGAGCGCAAGGAGGCCTGGGGGCTCTCCTACATGTCTCTGCCACAACCTGACGGACACCCAGACTCCCGTGGGCTCAGGGAGACTGAACGGCCCTTCCTGGAGAGTCCCAACTCAGCCTGGTCCCTCCCCTCGTGAGCGCAGGGCTCTGGCTCCTTGACCAGCATGTGCGGGGGCTCCTGCTGCTCTGCCCTCTCCAGAAGCTGCTGGTTTTCTCAGGGGTACCTCATCGAGGGGCCAGTCAGTGGGGCCTCAGGACCCGCAAGGTGCATGATGCCGGGCTATTTAGGAGGGCCCTGGGCATGCATGGCTGCTTGTTGGGCTTTGGTGGCTGCTCCCAACCGGTAAGGTCCCGAGGGCTCGATTAGTTCTGTCAGTTGTGTCTGAGCTCCCGTGTGACTCAGACATAGATGTCTTGGACCCTACATTGTAGAGCTGTCGGCGTGCTTTCGCTGCTTGGTGCATGACCCCAGCCCCCAAGTGAAAAGGACGACTGTCCTGAGCCTAGAGCCCAGGAGCTGCCCCTGTCCCCACTGTCCCCTGTGGCCCCACTCTAGCTTGCATGTCTTCTCATGTGTGTCAGGATGGGGGGCAGTGGGCCTTTATGGCTGTGGCCTGACTGGGCTTAGAGGCAGCTCTGGGTGGTGCACGGCCCCTCGCCCCCTTGAACCACACAGCAGATGCTTCCAAGGCGGCTTGAATGCCACTCTCCCAGGCTGTTAGGTGGGTGCTGAGGCCTCGGGGAGCACGCAGGGTAGGGCGGGCCCAGTGCAGTTGAGGTTGGCCCGCTGAACTGCACTGAGGGTGTTACAGCTTCAGTGGGAAGGGAGAAGTTGCTCTGCTTTTTTGTCAGTTGAATGGACACTTTCTAGACCTTTATCCACAAACTGATTTCTTAAAAAGGCACTGCTCTGAAATCCGTGGAGATTTTGCTCACAGAGTGAGAGAGCGAGGAGCCGCCTCAGATGAAGTGATTGGCAGCTCGCCTGGCTGTGAGCGGCAGCGGCTTACCTGGGTCTCGCTTCCCAGAATAGACGCGGCAGCCTGGTATCTGCCTATCTCCCCTCCTGCGGCTGGTGGTGGCTCCGGGCTGGGGCAGGTGGGGCTGACTAATGAATGTGGGTGTTAGAGCCGTTTTAATTAGAAATTATGAATGAGGCGCTCTTAGCTAATTTTCAAATAAAATTTACAGAGGGCTTAAATCATTCCCTTAGTGTTTCCCCACTTAGAACGGGATTGGCATCGTTAACTCTGCCTGTAGAACAGCCAGAGCTGAGAATGCTAATTCAATAATATGTGATTTAAATATTTTGAGACTGAAACAAATACGACACTGCTAGCTAAAATCAAACGACAGTAATTGAGATATTGGAGAGAAGTTCTGAAACTGTCCTTTGAAGGTTCAAGGTTGACACACATTGCAGTGTTTCTCCCTTTTCTCCTCCGACAGCTAAGTGGGAACAGACTGTGTCTTTTTTTTAATGTTTCCCATTTCCGTATGTCTGTTGGCATTGGTGTCTACATAATATTGTTTTCCTTTTGACATAGATGT